CGGGGAGCCCACCTACCTACCAAATTTGGTGTTTCTAGGTGCCATAGGAGCCAATCGCGAGGGGGGGGGGGGGGTCGCATCGACCCCCCCCCCCTGCCAGGCCGTGTTATGAAAAATGCCCTGCCAGGGCGAGGGTTAAAATGTCATTTTGAAAATTGACCTCAGGTCAAGGTCATGACCTGAACGGAAAGGGCCATGTTGCATATTGGCCGATCCGTATCGTCGAGCTGAATACATCTGAGGTGTTTTCATCGCTCTAGCACGTCTCTATCAAAAGTTATAAAAAAACTGCTGGTGACCGTTCATGACCTGAGATAACCTCACGGGCACACAGAGGGGTCACAGGTGCATTTTTTCCGATTCGGTTTGTCATGTTTATCCATGAACCGCTGTTTGAGAGTGTTTAGAACGACACTAGTCCAAAAACGACGCATTTTAATTTTCTCCCGTTCACCTATAATGGAGAGGTCGCAAAATTGACCGTATCTTAGGTCACAGATATCGAAATTCCGAGATCGTCATTTTATGCGTACTGATACTCTTATCAATCTCTGAAAGTTTCAAAGCGATCGTTAAGTCGGTGTAGCTAAAGCGAGCCTTTAAACTTTCTCTGAGGTAACTTTGAACTTTCACCAGGTCACTTGACGTGACCTGGTGACCTGATCTTGAACGACCCGGGCCTGAAATTTTCACATCATGTGCGGAAAAGATGTATGAACAGGTGTACCGTAATTTTGAGATATTCGCGAAAAACCTGAGGGGGATGGGCGTGAGACCGCCCCCAGTACGGCGCGGGTTAACACCTCTTTAGGTCAGCTCACTTGACTTGACCAGTTGATCTGACCTTGAGGGACCCAGGCCTGATTTTTTTTTTCAGCATGTGCAGGTAAGATGGAGCTCAAAAGGTGTGTAAAATACAGTGTCGTTCTGCGGCACCGTTTTTTTAGACATCTGCAAAAAAAACGCACTCCTTGGTATAGGGCGCAGGTTCCGTACTGATTAGCCTTAGCTTTTACGTTTGATCCGCGAATTTTAACTTCGCGAAAAAGCCTGTTGATAATATTCTGCTGAAATCCTAGCGCAGGTTTAAAAAACAGTATAGTTGCATCAGACGCTACTGTTTTCATTTTTGATTTATTGTCTCGATTCGCTCACAAATGTATCCCAAGTCCCAATACATGTATGGAATATCAATACCAATGACACTGGTGACTCGCAGCCTCTCCCCATCGGCGATAGCGATACCTACCCCCTCCCTGCATCCACAACACACAACCCAGTTGTTGTTGTGGGATCTTTGTGCTCCACTGATGAGCGGGTGTTTCGTATGCTTAACATTAAACTAATGAGTGATGCAACGATCTACATTTCAAGTGTTGGGCATTGGGCAATTCTCGCCTGATAGATCATTCCCCATCGTAGTGATAACATTCAGTTGAATTCACTGGTCTGTGAGTCACTGTGATCAATGTTGAACACAACCAACGCCTAAGTGATAAAACCATTGATAGTAACTAGGTAGGGGAGAGTGGGGAAATATGCCCAGGGTTTTACTATGTCATATATTGTTCGAAAATGACGATCGGAAATCAAAAACTTGGAGTTTCAACGGAAGCCGACATCATTTTTCTCCAAAAATATCACACTTTCGTGCCTGAAATATGATGACTTTTTTGCTATTAAGCATTTTCCTGAAGAAGTGAAAGGGGGCATCTTACCCCACAGGGTGGGAAAGACGCCCCCTGGCGTTGGGGAAGATGCCCCCTGCACTATAAGTGACATAAATGGGCACGTGAATCGCCTGAACGAATCAGTAGTCCCTTCGAGCCTGCAGTAGACACCAAACGTCATCGTAAGGGCCCTCAAAAGTAGCCGTAAGGGGCTTCAGAGGTCATCGTTAGGGCCATCATAGTCCAGCGCGGCCAAACAAGCCTCCGTGGTGGCGTTTGGAGACCACTGTGGGGCCCTTATAGGTCTTCATGATGCTTGAGGGCCCTCGAGCCCATCGTGGGGACCTGAGATGCCAGCGCGGCCCGTGGAGCCTGCGTGGGAGCCCTCAAAGGATGTTGTGAGGGGCCCTGGAGCCAATAATGGGGCCCACAGAGGCCGTCGTGAGGGCTCTCAGTCAGGTGCCGCCCAAAAAGTCGCTGTTTGGGCCGAGAGACCGGCATGGGGAGCACCCGACCGTACCGGACTCTCAATAGTCTCAGATTTGCTTTTGTCTCTCATCACAAGTATGTAATAAATGATTTGACGGGCTGCTTGAAGGACAGCCTACGGATTTAGGGGGGCGTCTTTCCCCATCAGCACAGGGGGCATCTTACCCCAAGGTACCGAAGTAACATTAAATCAGTACAATTTGTTAGCCATAAAACTACACCCTGAAACAAACTGTTTGGGACGCAATGCACGCATGTTAACCCGGCACCGCCTGGGCTATTTCCGTACCCACGACAGCCTGGGGGGGGGGGGTCGGATCCGACCCCCCCTGTTATCTCGAGAACCAATGGTCGTATCGAGCCCCGCGAGGCGGCTTCGAAAGGTCTCTACGAGAACTTCCCAAAGCACTCTTAAGATTTTAAGATTGAGGTCAACTTTCGGGTCAAGGCCAGGTCAAAGGTCAAATTCAGGGGTTTTGCATGATTAGGCTTACGGACAGCGGAATCGATAGCTGCTGCTCGAAACTCACCACAAATGACCTCAAAGGCCTAGTGAAGGTACCATGTGCGTATAGGGGTCATACTAAGTACGGGTCAAGGTCAGGTCAGGTCACCAAAGGTCACGGTTTTCAATTTCTGCTACATGGGCGTGCGACACATGTTTTATGGCTTATTTTTCACGCCGAAACCGATCGTAATGGTTATATGTGACCCCAAGTCACTGTGCTGGTGATAAGTGTGCATTGAAAGCATAAAAAATCGTTTATACCATACGAGGGCTGAGAAAAAAGGTCAATTTTTCAACTTTTTATTTTTGACATAAAAATGCACTTTTCTAGACGAGCTTTGTCCCAGGAATCTAGTGGTGCCATTTGTTTTCACATGCGATGTTCAGAAGTGCCTCTAATTCACGAAAATGCTTATGACGTCACCATGCCCTATGCATGTTGGAGCTATTTTTTACAATTTGGGGGTCAAAAATCAAGATAGAAAGTTGAAATTTGGGGCATCTAATGTTCTAATAGAGCTCTACAACATATACTCCGGTTTTTTGGAAATTCCCAAAATTTTGGATTTTATTAGCTGTTTTCCAAAAAATATAGTTTTTTGAATTTTTAGGGGTGAAAATCGCATTTTATGGAAAATCCGAGATAGCCATTTTAAAGAACTCGTTGAGCTGCGTCTTTTCATGTCCTTAATTTGCAATTTGCTTTAAACCCTGATTTTTGGCGATTTTTTAAACATTTACCACTTTTTGACTAAAAACGCCATGTAGTTACATCACTAAAATCGATATATCTCAAAATTTTTTGGAAATTTTTTCTTAAAAATTGCACAGGAGACGTCAAATTGATAGGGGAGAAGGTATGCCAAGTTTCAAGTAGATAGCGAAAGTGGTTCATGAGTTATTCAAGAAAAACGGAGGGGGGGGGGGGGTCGGATCCGACCCCCCCCCCCCCCAGGCGGTCGCGGGTTAATGTATCACGACTATAGCAAGGGACGCAAAAATTATCTACCTTCTTTGATATTTACAATGTTTTGACACCAAAATATTTTTTGAAAGCAGCAAATAAAAAACATGCAATCACCAGCCAGCCGTTGCCCAACTGAGCTTCGCAAATTTATGTGCAGTTAACAAGGCAGGCTTCCGCTTTACGCTAAGAACATTAATTTCCAGGTTCTATTCTTTGTTTCGCCGCTAGAGGGGGTGGGGCGTCTTTCCCACCCTGGGCATCTTACCCCACTCTCCCCTACTCGAATTCGTTATAGGTACCTACAATGATATGAGCGCCGTTATATTTCATTCCTTACCAACTAAACTCTTGTGTTTACAAGCCAACAAGAAAGTAAACTTTGGATCAACCAGCAACCCACGTTAACCCTCGCCCGCACATGCCATTTTCCCATCCTAGAACGCACATGGGGGGGGGGGGGGTGGTTGCCACCCCCCCCCCGCGCCATTTCGTTCCTGTTGGAGATAGAGCTTAGCAGTAAAGACCAAAAAGATTCTTTGGGAAGAGACGAATCCAATGATACCCAGTTTTACCTTCTCAGGTCAGTCATTGACCTTCCAGGTCAGGTCAAACTAAAAAATGTTGCTGTTTTGGGTCACCGTTGGATATCAAGTGCGCTGCTTATCAAATACCGATGACGATGCTGTTTTCTGGTGCCAAGCCAGCTAGAACCTCTTTGTCACACTACCCGACCAGAATTTTGCTGCTGAGGTCATTTCAGGTCAAGTTAGGTCAAGGTCAATTATATGTGTTTGTATGTCTGTGTGTGTCTGTGTGTATACTGGTGTGTGCACCGATTGTTTTTGGGTCCATATTACATGAAATCATGATCTGAGAAGCTTTTACCAACAATGCAGTCAAAAAACTTCACAAAAAGTAAATTCAGTTTGCCTAAAACGCAATTATCTTAGATGACCTAGGTTGACCTTGACCTTGACCTTGACATCTGTACATCGTCGAACAACATGTTCCATGATAGGTGGGAGGTAAGACTGGCAAAAAAGGCCGAAATCAGGGTGTCAAAAGCTCACAAGGCCCATAGCAAACGCAAGATGTTGAGAATTGGCCATTTGGGTCATGACATGACCTGAAAAACAAGGTCATATCTCCAAAACCAAAAACCACAGAAACTTGAAATTTTCAGTGAACATCAAGAAAGGATGGACGAGCAGCTATACGAAAAATCAGCCTTCTAGCCCTAAAAATGTTGAGTGCAGAGCAGAAAGACTACCTGGGGGGGGGGGGGTGGCAACCACCCCCCCCCCATGTGCGGGCGAGGGTTAATATATCTCATATCAACTATGATACATTCAACATGACGTACTCGTTTGGGTGTTCTCGTATTTTTTCATGCTCTTGCCCGTGCTGGAGAGCCATATGCGTCTGATGATACCCGTATCATGACACTGTCCTCAAATATCAATGGCTCTCTGACTCTATCCTTTCCCTCTCACACATTGCGAAGCAGTCCTCTTCTAAAAACACTCCGCCCTCTCTCGGCCGAGCGAGCAAAGGCGAGTCAATCACAGGGCGTCAATTTGTGTTTCGCTCGAGCGATCGGCCAGGCGACCAGCCGAGGGCGACAGTAGGTTGCCCGCAGATGGCAGCACACTGCGGCCGGCAGATGTCAGCACTGTCTGCTCGCCAGGCGGCAGTCCGGAGCGGCCGTTGGAGGCTAGGTGGCGCTGCTCGCCGGGGTCGGACGGCCGACTGGTGCCGGCCCTCTCCTGTCATGGGTTCTCGGTGGGTACCGTTTGCTCGACAGTCGCCTCCGCATCCGTCCGAACGCTGTGCATGTGCAGCAGCCGGCTGAAACAGGGGATCATTTTGCAGCGTAAGCTAATGGCTACGTTGATTGGACCGCAGGCATTGGCTATAGATCCTCCGATCCCTCCTATTCCATCCTCAGGACGCATAAACCCCTCTCCACGCCCACACCCTCTGTTCCGGGCTGGACAGTCACCTCCGTCCGACGTGAGTAGCTGCTCAGGTCTCAGGAGTAGGCCACTCATGCGGTGGGGACTAAGGCAATCGTTAGGGGGCTGGCTGACCTGTCTATGACGGGCTCAGCCCCACCGGCGCACCAGGGTGGCCGCCCAGACCAATGTCTCCCCCTAATTTCTATTAGGCTTTGGGCTTCAAAATGGCGTCATCACACTAATAGGAGCTAGCCCTACAAAACAAACAAACAAAGATATACATAAGTGGTGGATGCCTGGTAAGCCAGCTCATAGAAGGACAAAGTTGCAAACGGTCGAGATGGGTGAAACGACGCTTTCAGCTCCCATTTGTCTTCGTCATTTTTTCATTTCAGACAGAATTTTCTGACAGCGCACTGTTTAGGACTGAGGGTCACTCCAACCAGGCATTCGTTAGGGGTCTCCCCAAATGGCACAATCTTCCGATGTAACCGTGTGTGGGGCTGGATGACCTGGATGGCTGGATGACCTGGATGGCTGGATACCGGCCATCAGAACACCCCTGTCCCACAGAACGGGCTCAGCCGCGGCAGCGGCAGCGCATCAGCCGGTGCTCGTATCATCAACCCGACGTTTAACGCTCTTATCCCATAACCGTGAAATGGCTCGAAGGCTCGGAAACACAGCCAAACAATAAGCAATAAAAATGATATCGGAGAAATGTAAGCGCCATGACACCTAAGCCATCTTTGTAGGTAAGCATGGCTACCACGAGGAAGCGGCTTGTGAAGAAGCCTGTGAAATTCATGATCGATTGGCGACTGGCGTGGGAAGCCGCGTGACTGCAATTTGGAAATGCTCGCAATCACATGGCGGTCTTTTGTGAGTCATCGAGGAAAAGGTAGGAAGTTATATGATAAATTTATATCGCGAGTTCCGTGTTTCATAGTTAACTCATCATATTATGAAAAACATGTCATGCTATTTACATTGAATCTGTCTTCCACGTCAATGCCTAAAATTATATTCAATTTAAAGGCTACTTCACTTGTCATTTTGTCTGAAACCCTATATCACAAGCACCACAGGCGTACATTTGGGCCCGCTCCGCTGCCACGCTCGGTTGCCTGTCCAGTGTCCATTTACCATAATCAGCGCGTTGGGAGCGAGGGTCGCGTTACTAGTCGACTAACTCATTAGTGACTGCCAGGCGACAGCTGTGTGGCAGCGGCCCGTACGGACGCGCTGCCGCGGCTCACGGTTCGAGCTGACGCAGCTTGCAGCTCGGGACCGACACAGCTCGCAGCTCGGGATCGACACAGCTCGCAGTCCGAAACTGTCTCAGCTGACAGTCCGAAACTGTCTCGGCCTCGGCAGCTCTGAGCTGACACGACTCGGCAGGCGAGGGGCCACGCCGGAGAGGTCAACTCAGACCGGGACCTGATGCCCGACATCGCCCTACCTCTCGAGAGCCGGCTCATTTTTATACATAAGCCCGCCGGCCCCGGGTGGCTAATGTCTCATCAAAGCAGCTCCGAGGACAATCAATTATTGGTCCGAGAGTGAAGGGCCACTCGAGAATCAGTCAGCGTAAAATAAGACCGACTTGACTGCCGAGTCAGCGATTGCATAGCTGAAAACGGAAACCAGCCCTCCTTAATTAAAACTGTGGCCAGTGAATAGAAAAACTCTGAAGGATTTGTAAAGAAAGAACAGGCTTCGGGCGAAAGAGAGCTATAGCGTTCCATAGCCAACAGCTGCGTCGCTACATTCGTCCGGCATTCAGAGGAAACCCAAAGAAACGTGATGCAAACAAGACACTTACTCGTCGCATTATTGTCTCATTTTCTCGGGGTGCTGGTAAAACAAATTTGGTCTTGCTTTTTTACCACCAAAATTAGCATATTCATTTTAAGCGTGCCTCGTTTGCATCCGTTTATAGCCTATTTGACTTCACAAACATTCGCCCTTTCTGCTAGTGTGCATTTGTATTACGGACCATTTTTCTTGTTTAGCTTTCGTGAAGAAAAACGCAACTACAGCACCAGTATGCTGATTTCGGTTGTGATCCCTGACTCGGAACTTACTCGCCTATAAATCTTGCCAGACTGCAGCCATTTCAAAACTCGGGCAATGAGCCATCCATGCGCACGGTGCCATCTATAACGAGGACAATATAGGTACGAGTACCTACCTGCAAGCCAATCGTTAAATAGGAACCAAGTCAATTTATAGTTTTACCTCATACCTCTTTTTTGACAGAAATTCGCAAAACAACTGTGAACTTACCATAAAGGCAGTAAGTGCCACCCTTTTCTTCTACATCTATACGATGCAGAGCAGACCGACGCACTGGGCACTGTCCCATAGGCGTAGGAACAGGGGGGGCCAGGTGGGCAAGTGCCCGCCCACTTTTCGAGGTGGGGGGGCCAACCATGTGTTTTGGCCCACCCACTTTTTACTCGAGGCCCCTCGTCTCGATTTGAGAGGACGTCGTCACCTTCCAGAATAAACAAACTCGGTAAAAATAAGTTCCACGAATCCCCACCCACGGACTCCAAGGGGCCGTGATGGATCCAACGAGGCCCTCTGTTCATCTTGTCAGTCGAAGCCCCTGAGACTGATGGCCTGAGAGGCCCTAGTGGATCTGAGGAGGCCCTAATATACACACTGGTCTGGGGAGGCCCCTGACACTGGCGGTCTGGGAGGCCCCTCTATCCACACTAGTCAGACGTCTGAGACTGGTGGTCTGGGAGGCCCCTCCATCCACACTAGTCAGAATAGGCCCCTGACACTGGCGATCTAGCCGAGGCCCCCTACCCTCACTAGTCAGAGGAGGCCCCTCTATCCTCAATAGTCAGAAGAGGCCCCTGAGACTGATGGTCTAAGAGGCCTATCCATCTACACTGTAGTCAGAGGAGGCCCCTGAGACTGATGACCTGAGAGGCCCTTATAATCACACCAGGCAGAAGAGGCCCATGAGACTGATGGACTGAGAGGCCCTTCTATTCATACTGGCCACAGGAGACCCCCAAAACTTTCGGTCTGGGAGGTCCTCAATCCGGCACCAGTCAGAAGAGTCCCCTGAGACTGATGGCCTGGGAAGCCCTTATATTCACACTAGGCAGAGGAGGCCCCTGAGATTGATGGTATGAGAGGCCCTCATATTCACACCAGTCAGAAGAGGCCCCCGAGGCTGATGGCTGTGAGGCCCTTCTGTTCATATAACTGGCCACTGGAGGCCCCTGAAACCGGTGGTCTGGGAGGGCCCTCTATCCAAACTAGTCAGAAGAGGCTCCTGAGACCGATGGTGTGAGAGGCTCTTATATTCATACTGGCTACAAGAGGCCCCTGAGACTGATAGTCAGAGAGGTCCACTCCTAATGAATCTGAGGGGGGCCTTCTATCCACATTTACACTTTTCTAGGGAGGCCCCCGAGACTGATGGTCTGAGAGGCCCTTTTATTTATACTGTCCACAGGAGCCCCCTGATATAAATGGTCTGAGAGGCTCTTTTATTTATACTAACCAGAAAAGGCCCCTAGGTAGGATTGATGGTCTAACAGGCCCTTCTACCTATACTAGCCAGAGGAGGCCCATGAGACTGATTGTCTGAGAGGCCCTTCTATTCAAACTAGGCAGATGAGGCCCCTGAGAATGATAGTCCGAAGAGCCATGCGGCGGCAACTGGCCGTGGCCATATTTCGGCCCGGTGGGGCCCCACAGAGCTCATGAGAGCACCTCAAGGGCTCCTAAGTAGACACGCTTATCCCCATAAGGGTGCCACGCCGGCTTCTGAAGGCTCCTTGCAGGCATCTAAGGGCCCTTTCCGGCCTCTAACGGCTCCACCCGCCTGTGATGGCTCCACACCAGTGTTTATGAGCGTCACACAGCGGCGCCTTTGAGGGTCATACTAGTGTCTCTTAGGGCCCTATATCGGTGGCTCTGGGGTCCCCACACCGGCGCCTCTGTGGGCCACCACACCTGTGCATCTCAAGGCTCTATAGGTACATCTGAAGGACCCACACCGACACCTCGGAGGGCCCCACACCAGTATCTCGGAGCTCTGAAGGCCCCACACCGGTGACTCTGAGGACTCACCGGCTCCTGAGAGCACCATGTTGATGTCTAACGGCTCCACAAGGCCACTGAAGGCACCACACAAGTTCTCACTGAGCTCTAATGTCCATGTACCGGTCTCTGAGGGATTTAAGCCAGCGCATTCATAGCTCCACACCAGCAATTGTAAGGGCTTCACACTGAAGTATCTGAGGGTTCCACACCAGTGTCTCTAAGGGCCACATACCGGCATCTCTGAGGGCCCCATACCGGCGTCTCCGAGGGTCCACATCTGGCGGGCACCCATCAGCGACTGAAGGTCCCACACTGTCGACTCCGAGAGCCCCATCTGCGTCTGGGAGCAACATGCCGTCTCTAAGAACCACAGCGGCTCCTCCGTACGAAAGATGGGCGTCTGCATGCCAAAGGGGAGCGGTTCTGAGACAGTAGGGCACCTACGTGCAATATCTAGAGGGGCGCCTATGAAGCCCATAGGGGCACCTCAATGCGCAAGAGGGGCGCCTCTGAGGCCTACATAATATATGGGCGTCCACATGCAATAGAGGTCTGCATTGATCAATGCCATGGGGGTGCATTCATAAGAAACATGGGCGCCGGCATGGCAAAGAGAGGCGCCTTCAAGTGTCCATAAAAGAGAGACGCCTATGATAAGCGCACATTGTATGCGACAACGGGGCGACTGTGGGACATATAGGATGTCTCTGATGACTATACATAGGGCGCTTATATGCCAAAGAGGGCGCCTATGAAGCTAATGGGGGCACCTGGGAAACGAGGAAGACATTTGTGTAAGGGTTTTCAGGGGCCATGCGCCGTTTGCGGCAAATAGATTCTAAAAAAAATCGGAGGGGGAATAAGTTTTAAAAATGGTGCGGACTTTCCGCACTGTTCGCTTAAGCGGTTACGCCCCTGGGTACATCTGCCCGAGCCCCGATCTCAGAAGCTAGATTTGGAGGTCATACTTGAAAGCAGCCAGCGGGACGAGGCAAAAGTTGGAGGCCCCTGAAAATAGGAGGCCCCTGAAAAAGGAGGCCCCTTGACAGGGTGGCCCACCCACTTTTCATGACGTTCCTACGCCCGTGCACTGTCCCACCCTCCTGTTGGTGCCATGACCAGCGGCTCTGCTGCGGACTCACCAGCTGGCTTTTCTGTCGATGTGCGACGGTCTCCGACAGCCGAGCTGGCGCTGCACGCTCATGTCGTGCCACTGTTTCACCACCGCGTCACGCACCTGTCAACACGCAGACAGACATACAGACCTGAGCAGCGAGACAGACGGACAGATACAGGGGGCCGTGACCAGTGAGCACAGCACGGGTCTTTCACATGCGCCCGACACATGTGGTATAATGACCGCTATACGGAGCACAGCACGCTTAGCATTGACCGACGCATTGCCGACGCGCAACGCCGTCTAATTACTACGGAAATGCACAACATGTGTACGTACTCTTGAAAGTGATAATATGAAAGTGACGATACGATGCGAGTAGTGACGAGACGAAACTGGAGGAAGAGCCTCCAGTTTTGTGAGGCATGGTGCGAAACACCAACAATGAATGATCACTATACTAATAGGTAAATAAGGAGGATGCAGTCAACAAGCACAGAGGGAAAGGGCGTTATCTCAATTGATAATGTAATTCGTATAATGATGTTTTTCGTACTCCACGAAAAACATCTCACGCTCTCAGTCCCAGCGGATAAAAACAACACCTAAGAATAATTCGTATAAGTGTGCCCTGTGACATTTCTGACGTGCATTGAATAGAAAATTGAGTAGAAATTGGATAGAAAAGAGTGTAGGTATGTAGAACGCGGAAAATGAGAACACGACAGTTTCCGAAGTAAAGGATAGACATTTGCACAATTGCAGTAGGTACCTATTTCTGGCATGAAACAATGTACACTGATTGAAATAGCAATAACATGGCCAACGGATACAATATCTCTGAGCCTGGCCGATCGACGTAGATATGTTCGATGTGATACGAAATGGCAATTTGTAACGCTCGCAGTCGCAAATAAACATGTTGGCCATACCCATCCCAAGTTATTTGCCATTTTATCATAACACTGAAGGTCATTGCAAAGTTTCGCTGCGACGAAAACTTGTCAAAAAATGATAACTAATCAATGTCAAAATGCAGCCTTAGTTACATTTGACATAAGCAGCAGTACAGATTCCACCCATAAATGCCTATTTCCGGCCTGTGCACCCTCTGTGCCGTCTCCATCCCCATGGACAGCCCTCGAATTCCCCGCGGCGCGATCAGATCAGTACAGTCTCCCCGTGCAGTAATCATTTGGGCTCCGAGTGGGCGGCGTACCGCGCGCAGCGATCACCCCCAGGCTCGAGCCGCTGCGCTCCGAGGCAGCCACGGCTCAATCGGGCCACATCAAGAGGCGGCCGCGGCGGGCCTCATAATCATCAGGCTACACCGCTCGGCCGGATCAAAGCGGCCGGTGCCGGGCGGCCGCTGCAGCGCCGCTGCGGGCCTGGCCGCGGCCGCCGCTTTTGTCTGCGCTGGTGGGCGCGACTGCAGCTCAGCGCCGCGCGCCTGTGTGCGCCGCCGGCTGGCTGGCCGGGACGCCGGCGGCGGTGCCGGCGCGCCGGCGGCGATTATTAGCTGGACCGGATGCGGGGCACGGCAGCCGCCGGCGGAGAGCTGCTGGAGACGACGGCTCGGCGCTGCTCAGAGCGGCCCGGCGTGACACAGGACGGCACACAACGGCACGGTACGGCATAGCACGGCACGGCACGGTACAGCACGGCACGGTTACGACACCGCACAGAACGGCACGGCACTACAAGTACACACTGCGCACAACAAGACAAGGGAATACACTGCACGCCACAGAACGGCACATGGCGGCACGGCACGGCACGGCACGGCACGGCACGGCACGGCACGGCACGGCACGGCACGGCACGGCACGGCACGGCACGGCACGGCACGGCACGACACGGCACGGCGCGGCGCAGTACAACGGCGGACGGCAGGGAGCTGTTGCTGGTTAGTGGCAATATCGCGGCGCTGTATATGATGAACAATAAGGCATGGGCCACGATTCGCATTAATTAACTGATGGGCTATAGGAGAACAATACCCAGAGTAGCCTGCACAAACACGGGTGCAGATTGTTTTGGGGTAACAGCGGAAAAGCAAATGCTATTTTAAATTCAGGCCTCTGACCACATTTCATATGTGCCAAAGCACAAGGGCTATACATTAAATAGTTATAAAGGCCGGCATCGATCCCGCATAGTACTTACAAAATCCTACCCGAGCCCTTATAGACCCAGTGTGTCTGAGCTCAGACACATCTTAGACGGCCTTGAGACACATCGGCCCTGTTGGATATGCATTTGAATATAATGCCGGCAAATAACCATGTGAGCTTAAAATGTGTGCCGCGCATAGAAAGCGCAACCCTTTGTAGTGCATTGATTTTCACTGCTGGTAGCATCAGCAACAACAGAATCAGCTGCAAACCATCACACGTGAACAAGAAGAGGGTTGGTGAGAGGACAACGTTCCATATTCCTGGAGCTAGGGACAAGGGAGCTTCACATGGATCGATATATGTACTTGTATGTTAGCGGTGAGCCAGCCCAGGAAATACCATCTCCAAGGAAATTCCAGCTTCCCTTTGATACCTTCGCTCTCATATGAGTAGAGAAAGCCGCAAAGCCCGCATTTCTGTTCCTAGGAGAATTTCATAAGACATAATATTACGGCTCACCAGGACTTACTTCCTTAGGAAATTCCTATAACCGCGAAATCAGCCGCACGGCATCGAGGAATTCCATTTCAAGGCGTTACGGAAAAATTCTAATAAGAGCGAATGCCAAGGACCATGCAATATAGGTGATATTGCTTCTGGTATTATGTATGTTCTGTGCTGGAGAAATATTAACTTATTTACTATGGCATTAAGATGTCTGAGCATGGCCTTCCGCTTATTATTCTGACCATTTCCCTCTGGTATGTGCTATGTACGAGTCAAATTGAGCATGCTTGCGTTTTTCATGCAATTCTCGCCAGCACTATCACAACAAGAAAATTACATGTACCTAGATCACTTAATCCCGCGCCGTGCTGAGGTGGGGGGAGTTTTTACGCCCCCACCCCTCAGGTTTGCGCGCCGCCGTTTCTGGTACACCTGTCCATAGATCCTTTCCGCACATGTTGTGAAAACTTCAGACCTGGGCCTTTCAAGGTCAGGTTACCAGGTCACTTGACGTGAAAAAATTCAAAGGCTCGCTATAGCTACACCGACTGAACGATCACTTTGAACTTTCAGCCATTGATAAAAGTAACAATAGCCGTTTTCACGACGGGCTATCCGGCGAGTGCACCTAATTTGACCAAATCTGCACCATATCTTTTTTACAGCAAATATCTTGATTTATGAATTTATTTCAGTGTTTTAACCCTATTAGTGGCAGGGGGGGTTGTTTTCATCCACTCCTCAGGTTTTTCGGGAATATCTCCGAAACCACTGAAGCTACGATGCTGAAATTTTCTGACTTTTCCGAAAACTAAATTGGGCATATTTCCTGAAAATTTCAAGTTCATAACTTTACCAGGGGAGGCTCCAGAGCACTGGGAATTGGGAGGTCCTATTCGTGAAGCGAGTCATTTGGGCGAAGATCACGATGCTGATGTATTATAACTGTATGCACCAGTTTTACGAACAGTGAATGAAAGGTATCATGTGATAACATATACAAAGTTATTGTGCATCCTCTTTTGACACGTTTTTGCTATAATAGGCGGCTCCAGGCGTCCAAAAAGGGGGGTTATGTTTTACCTCCCAACATAGGTGCCCTGACACCGCCTATGCATGACCAATACAATTGTAGTCGTTCTCTCATAAGAAAATTTTAACATAACAAGACCATTACCACCCTTTTTAGAAACAGTACCAACAAATACCTTATTCACTATACTTTTTGTGTACCCCCAATGTCAATGATCTGTATCCGCCTATGATTTTTGAAAATGCATATTTTTAGGATCCATGTGAATTCCTGGTTCATTCTCTATCGATCGGCAAAAGTTGCGTTAAAATTGGTTCAGAAACATGGCCGTGATAAACAGTCTAAAATGTATCTGCAATTTGCCCGTTTTTACCCCCCTCTACCCCCTATTGACATTTTTAATTTTTATTTCTTAGAAATGTAGATCACGTTGAGCGAAATCGAATGCCGTTTGAATTTTGAAAATCGGCCCGTTAGATCTCGAGATATCAGGGGGGGGGGGTCGTAAACAGCCCCCCTGCCACTAATAGGGGTAGCCAGGAGCCTGCCACTAATAGGGTTAACCGATGATGCTCTCTGATAATAGTACAACCCTAGCTGATAGCTACTAAGAGACACACTGAGCTTAATTTGACCAAATCTGCACCTAATCTGCACCAGATGTGAACCAAATACATATGTACCAGATGGCCGTCGTGAAAACGGCTAATATGTATAAAATGTTTATCTGGGATTTTTTATATATGTGACTAAGGTCAGGTCAATTTTGCCACCTCTCCATTATTAGTCAATGGGAGAAAATTGAAATGCGCCTCTTTTGGACGAATGTCGTTCTAAACCCTCTCAAACATCGGCTCATAGGTAAACATGGCACAATGAATCGGAAAAATGCACATGTGACCCTTCTGTGTGCCCCTGAGCCTGAGGTCATTTCAGGTCATGAACGGCCACTGCAGCAGTTTTTTTTTTTGGCTATAAGTTATAACTATTGATAGGGACGTGATAGAGGGGTTAAAACACGTCAGATGTGTTAAGCTCGACGATACGGATCGATTGATATGCAACATGACCCTTTCAGGTCAGGTCATGACCTTGACCTAAGGTCAAATTTTCAAAATGACTTTTCAAGGTCAACGTGTAGTTTATTCGACGCGTCTCGACGAGAGGAACACGATGCTGGCAAAATTAATATCATGGCTGTCTTGAGTCCAAAGGTATTACCGAAAAATATTGTTCGTGACTAAAACGGATTTTTTTTTAGAGTTTTTGCCCCCTTGAGGCTAAACCGTTGACCTGAGGTCAAATCTGAGACCAATATTCAGAAAGGCCTGTATAAGAACTATCGAATGCGCTTTCTGTGGCGTTGTAGCTCTAGCCATTGGAAGTTTCCAAAATTATTCAAATGAACTAAATTTGACCTTTGATGACCTCTGGTGACTTGACCTTAAAAATGACCGAGGAGTTTCCGTCTTTATTTTTGACGCTCTTTCAAGTGCACATGAGAAAAATCCTGACTCCGCATGACACCCCCAGGGGGAGTTCACCAAAACGACACCCCAAAACTCCCAGGTGGTACTCCTCATTACACCCCCTCTAAAACTCTCCATTACACCCCAAAACTTCCCTCGAGAAACTCTCTGTAACTCTCCCTACCGTTTTAGAAAACTCTTCATTACTCTCCTTTACCCTATCAAAACAAACAACATACTCCCTGAAACTCCCTTCCATTACTCTCAATGACTCTCCTACTGCCTCATAATTACTCCCGATTACTCCATTCCATGATTCCCCAAAACTCCGTTTACAGCTTCATGGTATACCTCTTGTTACTCCCCATCAAACTCACCCAAACTTCCCATCACTCCACTCCAGCCCCTCCCCCCCCCGAAAATAAATATTGGACGAATAGCGTAACCACCCAAAGCTCGTGTACCGAAGCACAGATAAAAAATATATTTCAAGAAATGTGTATTCATAGTCCGGGGCGGTGGGAGGCTTAAAAAATTAACAAACGCTTTCGACATCCCGCCACGGCACGCTTTCCGGGGATCTCACTCCATATGCTTCACGGTCTCGAGTTTTGATGTTAAGAATCCAAAAGGCGGCCTACCACAGCAGGAATGCTTGGTCTGGTGGTGCCGCTACCCTACCACCTCCTGGGCCTCGACGAATACTGCGTCTTCTTCGTCCGGCTCTCCTTTCACGATGGTGGGATCGGGATATTTTGCTGGCCTCCGTTGGCTTCCGACGTGTCTTGCGGGATGCGCTGCAGGCTCTCCTGCTCATCCCCTGCAAAATGTTGATAACCATGAAATTATAGGTACCCTTAACATTGCGTGGGAGGAAATGGAGGAGAAAGAAAAAAAGAGAAGAAGGGGAAATAATGAAGGAGAAAGGGAGGGATGGAGAAGAGGGATGAAGGAAGGAAGGAAGGAAAACAGGAAGGAAGGGAGGGATAGAGGGAGAAAGAAAGGGAGAGAGAGGGGAGGAAAAGAGGGAGTGAGAAAGGAAGCGAGGAAAGATGGAAGGAAGAAATGAGGGAGGAGACTGAGAGGTAGGCAGATGAGACAAGATGGACGAGACGAGACATACGCGACCTGGCGTGTTGGCACTGATACCGCATTTCGGCACATGATGTCAAAATAATGAAAGCAAGAGATTGCAAAGTTAGCATACTTTTCATGCACTACAATTTTGATAAAGTTAAGTTTCAGTGAAAGTATAAAGGGCAAGTTAACAGCCTCCATCTTAGTTGCAGACACAGTAGGGCAATGCTATAAAACGTACCTACTTTAACGCTCAAAAAGTTGAGCATGTCGCTAAAAATAAGCTAAGGACGTTATACGCTGCATAGGTAACCATGTTAACATTAAAGAACGAATTCAATTATGAACACTTTCTAAAAACATACAACAATTTAGACAAAATTTATTTAAACATGCTGGTTTGTCGGTGGTTTTCATCATTCATGGGCAGTGGCAGTGGTAGGTAACTGATTTTTTTTCTATATATATGTAGGGGCTAGGAAAAGCAAGGCTTTTATGCCAAGATAGTTTTATTTTCTGGCTCTCCTTTTCAAATTTGATATTTGTCATTGGTATAGATATTAAAATAATTGGGCAATAACAATAGGATCCATGACGTGTATAGCTTGTGTAATCCTAACTTTCCAATTTATTCGAGGGAAATAATGTGTGATATTTGCCAATACCTAGAAACTCAGAGCATGCTGTTTCCGATCTTTATCTCACTCAGGAACAATACAAATCAATTACCCTTACAGAGACCATTCCAGCCCATCAAGAACATGGGGTTACCATATGTTCTCATCACAGCATTATAACACTTTGCACTATAAAAGCATGATGAAAAATACAGCTAAGCTTACCTTTAAATCCAAAGTAAGGTCCAATTATCCGTCACTGTATATAGGTCAGGTCCGTCTAAGTCAACACGCTCTTCACTAACACCTCGCCCACCGCCCCGCACAACGTGCTGTGTACTACGCGCAAAAGATGGCGGCCACCGGCAGCTCCTCGCGACGTATGCTAAAACCCCTTCGTAACTCCCCTTTTACTCCTGTCGGAACGTTCGGGAAAGGTTTTTCGGAAGTAATGGAGAGTTGCGTCACAGAGTTATGGGGTGTCACACATGGAGTCATTTCGCCATCCATTAAGAACTCTTGAAAACTCTTTCGCAAAATGAGGAAGGCTCGAAGTTACCCTAGAACACACTCAATAACTCTGCTGGAAAGGGAGTTATCAATGGTTTTAAGGAGTTTTCAAGGGAGCATTTTCAAGAGTTTTGACCCATATGGAGTCAATTTTTTCTCAGTGTGCCCCTTACCGCGTGTCGCTACGTGGCCCAGGAGCCGAGCAAGAGGGGGCGTTTTCACGCCCCCCCCCCCCCCCAGCACGACACGGAAAACGTAGGCCACCAGCACGGCACGGGTTATGATGAATCGTTTATATAGAGCAGCTGTGATGTCTGAAATCCAGTCAGGAACTGACCGCGACTTGGTGGCAGTGGGTGACAACGGCCGCCAAGCAATCATGCTGCTTCCGGGGAGGTGTATCCGCAAACTCCCCGGAGGGCCGTATAACATGATGGACTCGGGCAGGATACACTCAGGATGAGTATAAATGCTCGCGGCCGCCTCCGATCGAGCCATGTCTGAGCTTGAACGCCGCAGGGACTGTGGTTCTGCCTAACACACTCAGACATATAGACCCGAAGACGATTATAAATGCTCGCATCCGCATCTGATCCAGGCATGTCTGAGCCCGAACACCGCGGGGAAGTTGATGCTGCCTAGCACAGCCAGACATAGCTGAAAGTGAGTGATCGATGAAGAGCAGACGGTTCATCGCCAGGAAGGGATTCCCGCTCGGTTGCTACGTAAAAATGAAGCTATTCCGTCCCTTTCATGTGTGGTTCAACGCGCGTAATAAAAAGGTTGTATACCAAGATATTATCATAACCGTCAGGTATAGTGCTAAATCTGCGAAGTGCATGTCGTACCTCCTGGTTGAGGAAGCAGTAGAGCAGCGAGATGTAGAAGCCCTGGAAGGAGTCGAGCACGGCGAGTACGATGGTGTAGCAGCCGAACACGGCCACGGACCGGTCCAGCGGCGGCTCGAACATCTCCAGCGAGTGGGTGATGCCCAGCAGCGGCAGGAGGAAGAGCGCCGCGCGCACCGCCTTCCTGCCGGCACGGCACCGGGAGGGCCGCAGATCATTTTCCGGACCGGCCGCGGGCCGGCAGGGCGCCGGACGCCGAGCCGCGGAGCTTTTGTTGTCGCATAACTGAATAAAGTGGTTCAAGATTTTCAGCAGCAGCTTAGGAGCTGGGAGCTGGAGATTACCGACTGCTGTGATTATGTCACACACAGGCCTCGGATAAAGAATCTTACCTGACTTTCTGGACGTCATTTGAGCTGCTTTCGTGAAGTTTTGTGACAAGAACTCTTAATATGTTGAGAAGGAATCCCAGGTTGGCCTGAAAGAGTCCAAATGGCTTATGTCAAGCATCTAATGCAGCCGTTTTCACTTCTGTTAGTCATATGGGGATTGGGGAAGCATATCACTTTAATCTTTATATGATTTTTTTTTGCTTTAGCTCTTCTTTGATTTGACAGAAGACAGAAGATGAATTTAAATTCGTTTGATCTCAAGTTTAAATGATATCGCTCATATAATAAGAGGTTCATCCTATCACAAGGGGTGAATGTATAAGCACCAACCAGCCTTTCTCGAGTGTTATCTTTACCATCTTTACTATTGAGAATAAATGAAGTTGTGTTATAGGCTGTCGTCTCTGTTGTATAGGAGTAAAACGATAGCTTTATTTGTCTTTGGTCTATTGAGTTGATTGAGTGGCGTAAATTTCAAACATGCAAGAAATATCGCCACGAGAACGTACGCTGTATACGTTTAGCTGAAACTAATGCAAGTATGAAAAATGGAAAAATATCAAATGTACATGTGCAATCTGGGCTGGATCCTGATTAGACAGAAGTGTGTTCAGATTACAAGATGAGTCTTGACAGCGAGCGACAAGTCCGAAAACATGTTCCGATTGCGAAAATATTTTACTACCTGATAACTATTTGCTGCGCTACAAAATTACCAGTTTGTATCACCTCATATAATCATTTTTCTCGCGCTCGTGGAGCCCTCGACCGGACCGATCGTTGGGGCGATCTGTGCTCTAACCGGCGGCAAATCTCCGGCGATTCGCCGCAGGGCGTCACGGCGGTAATTTATAGCGGCGATTCGAGCGCGGCCAGCCAGCCGAGGGCGACGGAAACTCCCCGAGCATGCAGCTAGGGCCGCTCACCAGCCAATGGGCCATTGACAAGTCCGATCAATGGCAAACGGCATGTAAATGTCAGCCCGAGAATACCAGACAAAGACACACATGTAAAGAGACTGAAGACGAGCAAATAAAGACAGACAGAATATGCTCCAGATATAAGTGATGTAACCACCGAAGTGTTTCATGACTCGTCATATAACTGAGGCAAAATGAAAAAGTCGTTCAGCATCTTTTTAATCACAAAGCTACGGGTTGAGGGTGTATTATCCTTGCCATTTTAGGTCGAGCTGTATCACTTAGAAATGTGTTTACAAGATATTGATTTACACGATAAACGATTCATTGGTTGGAAAAAGAACTTAGACTTCATGGAATGTTACTTACCGCTATTACCATAAACCGAGGTCCTTGGATGATCCAATAAAGCCGGCTCACATGTTTTCCCCACCAACACCTGATGATACAGATGTGAGGTCACGAAAAAGGCCCGTGGAATCGTATTTTACTAAAGTCATTGCAGGAATAAATACAATTAATATAGGCAGTAAAAGGACATTTGTAACTTTCACTAGCCGCTGACCAGTCAATAACAAGATTAATTTAAATTAGGAGCGAAATACAGAGGGATGGGGAGGGAGGAGATAAGATGAAAGGGAGAGATGAGGGCATCAAAATGGCAACGGATCGGCTTGCATTCTTGTAGATTGTCGAAGGAGTGAAATCGAAGAATATATGTAATGAAACATAAAGATAAGGAGAAACAGTTACGAACGTCTGCATTATTTCTAATGTCACTATTAAGAGCAAGACTGAGATTAGCAAAGCAAATGAACAGAAGCAATCACGGGGGAATGCAAGAACTTCTCAACTAATCCTAAAAACATATCAGCACTAGCACTTACTGCGTCTCTGTGTAGAGGTACGCCATGAAGATTGCCCAGACGGACATCAGCAAAATGGACAGGCCCCAGCCGATCAGGCTGAATACTCTGTTGACGGAGCACACAAAATGGTCGAGGTTAGTGACAAATGTGGATGTTTGTTATGAGGCACTTCCCTAGTTATCCGGTCACCTTAATTGACAGAGGATGGGATAGATGCTCGAGCAAAGTGATCTTCAATCTGATTTTCAAATATTGGTGATATTTTTGATATCACCAAATATCGAAAACAGTGTTTAATGACAAGACAAATTCACCTTCTTCCTTGCTTAGACTTTTTCTTCCTTTTGTTGCGTCACTCGAGCCTATTAACGCCTACATATGCCTTATGTGTACATTGAACATTTATGCATAGACAGTGCACGCATTGACATACAAAGTTATTTCAAAATTGCATACTTTGTAACTTTCCTCTAAATTTCGAATTAAAAATCGTAGTTAGCTCAAGCGATGGATAACGGGTTAAAAAAAAGAAGCATTCTCATAACTTTCTAGGTAAGGAAGGCAGCAGCTGGGGTAATTCCATACATGCCCGAAAAGGCGGGTGCTAAAAACCTTAGTCCAAACCAATAACGGGATTAATTGATCACTCCCTAACCTAACGATATTCTGCATTCATCAATGCACAACAAAGCCATCAAACAACAGAAGCCGAAATTGCACCGTTTTGACGAAGCGTAATGTAATTATGTGGCGGCTCCAGCCAGACCTCAGAAACAAAAGGCATTCACATTACCGAGATGGGCTCGAGCCGTCCCGCCGCTATATAATCTGTTTGTCGCGCTTCGATGGTCGATTGTTGACTGAAACCGGAAACAGCGTCGGCGTTCCGGAGAGATTACTGCCGCTCTGTCTCTCACTACTGCCTCTACTTCCTCTCTCTCTCTCTCTCTCTCTCCTCTCTCTCTCTCTCTCTCTCTCTCTCTCTCTCTCTCTCTCTCTCTCTCTCTCTCTCTCTCTCTCTCTCTCTCTCTCTCTCTCTCTCTCTCTCTCTCTCTCTCTCTCTCTCTCTCTCTCTCTCTCTCTCTCTCTCTCTCTCTCTCTCTCTCTCTCTCTCTCTCTCTCTCTCTCTCTCTCTCTCTCTCTCTCTCTCTCTCTCTCTCTCTCTCTCTCTCTCTCTCTCTCTCTCTCTCTCTCTCTCTCTCTCTCTCTCTCTCTCTCTCTCTCTCTCTCTCTCTCTCCTGCATCTGCTGGAGCGCGTCTCGTTGATCGACCGACAGGCTCGCCCACCGGGTGCAGACCGGGCAGGAGTCGCCGATGCGCCGCCGCGCCTTTATTGTGGCCGATCGGCCGTCCCAGTGATGTGGCTCTCGAGGAGAGCTGCCGCCCTGGGTCAGCCCGGCTTAGGGGCCGCTTCTGCTCAGTCAGCGCATCTGGCCGCCTCCTCAGCGTCCTAGCCACCCCCGGAATTATGCACATCCGGCCGCGACACCGACCAACGGCGCGCGGGCGACGCGCGATCGGATCGTGTGTCTGATGACGAGCGGATCACCAGGAGACTTTTCCGTGGTAATGTCCCTCTTGTTTGTGTCTCCGAAGATCATTTTATACACAGAGCCGAACCATAATGAGAGCAGGATTACTTGACATCAAGCTATAAGTTGACATGCTAGAATGTTGATAGCGCCAAAAGCCAGCGTCAGCCATCGTTCTGCAAATGCTAAACAAGACAAATTGATGACGGAAAGGACTGAAATATCATGTTTGAAAAGGGTCCTCAACTTAGTGTTTCTTGATGAGTTTTTGACGTTTAGTTTTTGAAAAACTCGGCACTCGGCGGTACAAGTATAAGCAGCTTCCATCCCCGCCAGCCTTATGTGAGTATACACGACGTGATTGAATGGCAGCGCATATGTCGAATCCGACCGTTACTATGTAATTCAGCATTGACACAATGAAAGCATGTCTGTAATAATACTCTACCTATCCATTCCATGATTGCTGCGCAGCTTTATATCAAGGCACCACCGTGATCTAAAATACCAACAAAACAACTCAGCCGGAGTGGCAGCACACATCACAGAAGACCAATGCATGAGGCGATGGCCGCTGGCCGGGAAAAAACAACTCATTCGGACAAATCCCGGTAATATATCACGGCTAACGGCCGGCGGCGCCCACACCTGAGCTCCGCTCCTCGGTGCGTGTCCGGCGCCTGAGCCCGCGGCCTCGGCCTCGGCCTCGGCCTCCGCGCCGCTGCTGGCCGAGCCGCCGCGCTGTTTGCCAGAGCGTGCTCGGAGGCCCCGCACCACCGCGCACCACACGCCACCAGCGCGGCGCACCAGCGAGCACCAGCGAGCACCAGCCGGTTGCCAGTCGGCCGCGGTCGGGGCGCGATGCCAGATTCCGCTGTTGATTCCGCCGATCGGCGCGGCGCCGCCCGATGCCGAACACACACTCACAGACCCCCCCCCCCCTCGGCAGACGGGCGGGGGTGATTGCTCAACACTCAGCAGTCGACAGAGTCCGACAAATGGGCGAGGTGCTCCCAGCGGGGAAGGTGACTCAGATACTGCACCGAGACATGGCTAGGTGCGTGGGCGGTTTTAGATAACACATTTCTCGTAAAATTGATTTTTTTCGTTGAATTGCCACCCAAATAATTTTTTCTTTTGTAGAGAGTATGATGCTTATCAATTGTAGCAGCTGTTCAAAATAAATTGTGTAAATGCATAAAATATTTATACCACATAACAATCGCCGTGCTTGTAACAATTATTTAAAAATCTGACAGAGCTTTGAAGTAGGCACAGCCGACCAAGTCGACCTCGACCTCTCTTGCCTTTTTCAGAATGTGAAAATGGTTACCGGTCTTAATGATGAAGTTCAGTCAAGTTGTGCCATTGGGCGCAGGCGCTGTCACTCACACAAAGTTGGGTTTCTCGTTGAACACGTCCCTGGTGAGAGTCGAGTGCAGGTAGTAGCCCTCGAGGAACATCCAGAGAAAAGTGGCTGACCGCGCCCACTCCTGCAGCACGTAAAACAGCTCGCACAGCCCCGGCTGTCAACGAAAACAACACAAATGTCAATGGAATAAGCATTTGGACTGTGGGAAAACCCTGGGGGTTGCGAGAATTCGCTAAAAAACGGATGGTTTGCAATAGCTTTTATGGGTCTGGTTGCGAGAGGAGCCACGCCAGGCTGCCCTGATGGCTGCAGCAAAACTACACGGACAGGGTTTTAACAAACGAAATAAAATTGCTTGCACACCTACAATAAAATAACAATTGATATAGCACTAGATTTCGATTTACGATTCGATTTCGATTTTTTGGCATTTATCTGACGACTGACAGAGATGACGCAGAACTGAATGTAGTGCAATCGGAAGCTGCTTCATCGAAATATATCGAAATATCCGATTCATGCCGAACATCTCAGCATTCTCTCGTTACGAGGACTAAGATCCAGCCTACCAGAGATGTCTGGATATACGGCCAAATAAAACCCAAAAGTCGTTAAAAACGATTGGTATTTAGCAGCTAGATTGTGTTAGAGCGGGCGGTCAATTGGGTTTTTAGCTGACGCATTTATGGTATACAATCAAAACCAAAAACTTGCGCGAGTGATATGGGATTTATGTTCTGAAGGAAAGGGGTCATTCAATTAACCTATTGACGATACCTTAATTAACCCGCGCCCTGCCTGGGGGGATGTTTGAACACCCCCCCCCCGTGTGGTTTTTGGCACACCTTATCATACATCAATTCTACACATGTTGTGAAGGTCAGGTCACCAGGTCACTTGAAGTGACCTCACCTCATACAAAGTTTCAATGTCTGCCATAGCCGAGTGACCGATCGCTTTGAAACTTTCAGCTATTGCTAAGAGCAATAGCATGTACAAAATGTATATCTCAGAATTTTGATATCGATGACATAAGGTCAGGCCAATTTTGCGACCTCCCCATTATAAAAGTCAATGGGAGAAAATCGAAATGCGCCTCTTTTGAACGAAAGACATTATAAACACTCCCAAACACTGAATTACAAGTGGTTTAGACACACCTGAGCATGAAAATGGTGTCCGTGACCCCTGTTTATGCCCCTGAGGTCATCTCAGGTCACGGATGGTATCTAACAGTTTTTCGCGAATAACTTTTGATAAAGGCGTGCTAGAGCGATGACAACGCCTTGGATGTGTTCAGCTCGACGATACGGATCGACTGACATGCAACATGACCCCTTCCGGTCAGGTCATGATCTTGACCTGAGGTCAAATTTTCAAGTTGACCTTTCAAGGTCAAGTTATAGTTCATTCGATGCGTCTTGACGAGAGGAACACGATGCCGGTAAAAGTAAGCTCGTACAAGGCTCGGGTCAAAAGTTATTGCAGAAAACTGTTTCCGAAAAAATCGACTATTTTTGCAGTTTTTGCCCCCTGCAGGCAAAACCGTTGACGTTAGGTCAAATCTGAGAACATTATTCAGAAAGGGCGTTAATAGGGCTAAAGGGCGTTAATAGGGCAGAAAGGTCTGTGAAAGAGCTATCGAATGCGCTTTCCCGCGGCGCTGTAGCTCTATTGGTTCCCGAGTCATGCGTTGGCTTCTTGGAAATTGTCGACATTCGACCTGGAAATCGGCGACATTTTGCCTTCAATGACCTCTGGTGACCTGACCTTTGACCTGACCAAAAAATTGACGGAAGTCAGTTCGTCATTATTTTTACGCTCTTTCGAACGCCGCCTTCCGCGTATCGCTACGTGGCCCAAGAGTCGAGTTAGAAGGGGGTGTTCAAACACCGCCCCCCCCCCCTCAGCAGGGCGTGGAAATCCAGGACCCCCAGCCGGGCGCGGGTTAAATGTAAGCCATATGAGTGTTGAATTTCCTGGAGGGAGTCGATTGTTTAGTTATGTTTATGGTTAAAGCATGTGCCGATGGGTGTCGGTGAGCAGTTGTGGCTGTTTAATTAGCATACACCAGTCACCCATGCTGAGCCATAACAACATCGGAGCAGGCCTCTTCGATGGACATGATAGGAATTCCGAGCTTCTGCGACAACCAGCTTACTAGAGATTATCCTATTTGCTGCTTGATTTCAAGTTGAATGACATCCAGGAATTGGAAACTGATACGACCGTCTCGGTGTGGATAAGGCCCTGGAACAAGTGTCTCTATCTTCTTCCAGTCGAAATCCCCCGAATTGGCAGGATATATTCTAAAAGCCCAAATTTTGTGACTTATTTGCGTGTGCCTGAGGCGACGACATCAGTGTTGCACACTCCGCAAAGGAAAAGGAGAAGGGGCTGTAAATGATCAAGTTCTGGTCACACCGAGGGGAGACTGTGACTGACCAAGCTCTCCACTCCTGGACAAGCTGCGGACTCTCCGGGACTAAGTTACCTCTAATACCACCCCATCCTCTCGGCTATTGACTAACCGTGTTGTCGGTCGTTCTACTAACCGTGCTGTCGTGCTACTGACCGTGCTGTAGCGGGTAGCTGGCTGTACTGACCGTGTTGACGGTCGTTCTACTGACCGTGCTGTCGTTTGACTGACTGTGTTGTAGTAGGTCGCTCGTTCTACTGACTGTGTTGTAGCAGGTCGTTTGTTCTACTGACTGCAGTTTTAGTAGGTCGCTCGTTCTACTGACTGTGTTTTAGTAGGTCGCTCGTTCTACTGACTGTGTTGTCGTAGGTCGCCCGTTCTACTGACCGTGCTGTAGCGGGTCCCCCGTTCTACTGACCGTGTTGTCGATGCCTCGCTCGTTGCCGTCGTTGCTGTCGCCGGCTCGGATGATGTACTGGTCGATGTACAGTGTCAGCCTCAGCACCACCAGTACCAGAATGGCCGTGAAGAGGTGGATGTGGATCCGCGTCCGGCTGTTCCGCAGACGACTGACGGCCAGACGGACAGGTGACGTCACTCCGGGAACGTGACGTCATGGGAGCGTACGGCCGGCAAATGACGTCGTTAATAAAGATGTCATTCAGGCGAGCAAAACATAACACAGGAGCATGAAAAACAAAATCAAAATCAGAGCAAAACATAAATGAGGGCAATATGCTATGCTGGACGGGTGGTATTGGACCATATAAATGAAGTGCCCTTCGAATAATAAATAGCAGCAGCATCGAGGTCATCTGACACTGGTCAGTTTACATGAAGTGACACAAAACACTGATACCAACTGTTTTGACGATTGATGAACCATCAAGCCTAGGTGCCATTGGTATCAAGAGACACACCAGCTGAAGTCACGGCAGTTGATTTCAGATATGGCTGCGCTTTGAAGCACACAGGTGGCAAATATCACGTAAAACCACGTGACGTTTCGGATGGCACCAACCACCACAACGTTAGGCATCACGTGACGTTGATTGGGTCGCGCTCGGCGGAAGACTTTGCGTGTCTCTCAGCTGGTGTGATTGCGATCAGACAACAGCTGAGCATCGCAAACAGGCTGCTAAAAAGGGCCTAACAATGGAAATCATAAAGCCTAGTACGCGGAATGGTAAGTTGTGAAAACGTTTCTCGTAAAATTCCCGTAAAAAAGAATAGCCGAAGGTTTGTGTTTAAAAGTCGAAACAATATTGGTTGGAATTGTTTTCTATTGAAAAACAAAACTGAATTATCCGACAATTTAAAAAACCTGTCTGAGATCAGCATACGATAGATGGGATAGGGAAGGAAGAAGTTTGTGATTTATACCATGATGCAACAGGCTATGTATGTAATTATGTCGTCGGTCTTTGTTTAATCATCCACACTGCGCCACATCCGCACACCTACCTGGTTCTGGTGTGGTCGATTCGTGGCCCCAATCCTGAAGTGGGACAAACACCGCTTCCCACAAATATAGCTAATGAGGAAGGGATAAAAACCGTATGACCTTGCAGCATTAAATGCAAAGATAGCAGAAATACGAACGCCACCGAAGGCTGCTGTTTTGCGGTATGCACATGTGATGCAAACTCAGGATTGGTGAACTGATGAGCTTATCACGAACTATGAACAACGCGCACCACGAAAACGCGTCATTATCGAAATAAGAAAGGACCTTCAAAGTTCAAAGTCCAAAGTATCAGTCACTTACCTCTAATTTACGGAGCAACCTTTTACCATGACAATATTACGGAGCCAAACTAAATTCAGCTCACTAGGTTAAGCTATCCCGGGATCCTTATAACGTTATTCAGATATAAAGACGATGAGATGTAAGTGCCTATTTGCCTGGACTTGATTCTTGGCGCCGCTCACTAATACGGCGCAATGACTTTATTTTGCGACAAACACATATCACGTACATCCAATAATGCACATACATCTTCAGTGGCCCAAAGGCGGTCGTGCACCTTTTGTAGACATTGGTGCATTTCAAACCTGACTTACCTACTACAAATATCAGTTCGGTAAGCGACATTCTCCTCTATTTCTCCCCATCCTCCAAAAGTACAGCAATTGAAATCCACTTCGAAAAGACGAACGTGACGCGGTTGAGATATGTCTCCAGTTTGCAAAACAGTTCCGTCGAGAAAATGAAGCCGTCAATAACGATTCTCCGATGTCGTTATTTTCTGAAATGTTTTGACAGACGACAAACGTGCTGAGCAGACAAAATCGCACGCCTCACCAACGACCTCGCTTCGCTTCAGCGGGTCACAGCGTTCGCTTATCGAGACTGTTTGTTCCAACCCTTTTGTGGCAGGATTGAGGACCCGTTCGATGTTCAGCGTCACTTTAAATTGCGAGTGATATGCTCGATTCCATTACCGATTATTTTTGTTTCAAAATTGAATAGATTATAAATTTACTTTAAAGATATTGTGAAAACTGATGTTTCGCTGCATATCTGAACATCTATTGTTGAACTGCAAAGAAAGCTTCGATAAAGGTACCTATTTGCAAGACCCCTATGACCAGTATAATCACTTACCGAAAATAGCAGAAGAGGAAAAGACAGATGATAATGCAGCAGAAAGACACGCTTAGGCCGACCATCTCCAGAATTCGGCCCACCCGAGCGATGGTGAGCTTCTTCTGCAAATGAAAGTAATTAGGGTTAATACATTAAACATGACACAAAATCTGATTAAAATCAAATTCCAGTTGACAACTCATAACGAGTTCTCAATCTCCTATAGCCCTGCGTGAATGACACCGGGATTTTCAATTCAGCCGAGCTGAGTAATGGGAAACCTATAGGCGTTCCATAATCAGCGGGAGATTAACCCGGCACCGCCTGGGCTATTTCCGTACCCACATCAGCCTGGGGGGGGTCGGATCCGACCCCCCCCCCTGTTATCTCGAGAACCAATGGTCGTATCGAGCCCCGCGAGGCGGCGTTCGAAAGGTCTCTACGAGACCTTCCCAAAGCACTCTTAAGATTTTAAGATTGAGGTCAACTTTCGGGTCAAGGTCAGGTCAAAGGTCAAATTCAGGGGTTTTGCATGATTAGGCTTACGGACAGCGGAATCGATAGCTGCTGCTCGAAACTCACCACAAATGACCTCAAAGACCTAGTGAAGGTACCATGTGCGTATAGGGGTCATACTAAGTACGGGTCAAGGTCAGGTCAGGTCACGAAAGGTCACGGTTTTCACTTTCTGCTACATGGGCGTGCGACACATGTTTTATGGCTTATTTTTCACGCCAAATCCGATGGTAATGGTTATATGTGACCCCAAGTCACTGTGCTGGTGATAAGTGTGCATTGAAAGCATAAAAAATCGTTTATACCATACATAACTAAACGAGGGCTAAGAAAAAAAGTCAATTTTTCAACTTTTTATTTTTGACATAAAAATGCACTTTTCTAGACCAGCTTTGTCCCAGGAATCTAGTGGTGCCATTTGTTTTCACATGCGATGTTCAGAAGTGCCTCTAATTCGCGAAAATGCTTATGACGTCACCATGCCCTATGCATGTTGGAGCTATTTTTTACAATTTGGGGGTCAAAAAGCAAGATAGAAAGTTGAAATTTGGGACACCTTATGTTCTAATAGAGCTCTATAACATATATTCCGGTTTTTTGGAAATTCTCAAAATTTTGGATTTTATTAGCTGTTTTCTAAAAAATATAGTTTTTTGAATTTTTAGGGGTGAAAAACGCATTTTATGGAAAATCCGAGATAGCCATTTTAAAGAACTCGTTGAGCTGCGTCTTTTCATGTCCTTAATTTGCAATTTGCTTAAAACCTCGATTTTTGGCGATTTTTTAAACATTTGCCATTTTTTGACTGAAAACGCCATGTAGTTACATCACTAAAATCGATATATCTCAGAATTTTTTGAAAATTTTTTCTTAAAAATTGCACAGGAGACGTCAAATTGATGGGGGAGAAGGTATGCGAAGTTTCAAGTTGATAGCGCAAGCGGTTCATGAGTTATTCAAGAAAAACGGAGGGGGGGGGGTCGGATCCGACCCCCCCCCCCCAGGCGGTCGCGGGTTAATGACCTCCGGATCCGCCTCAGACTGTCAGTGGCGCAGACGGCTGTCGGTGCCCTCAAGACTCCGCTGCACGTCTGTGCCGCGCGCCCGGACGGCAGGACTCCATTGTGACCCACCGCCCGCCGAACAGAGGCCTCTGTCTCTGGCTGAGAGGCTGCGATAGCACGTCAGATAGAGCACAATGGAGCCGACCCCACTGAAAAGCCCACCTCGTCCCGGAGCTCGATGTCAAGTTCCACTGAAGCCTATGAAAGCCGGCCGCTGCTGCTACCGACCTGTTCGGTGGATCCGAGTTTTATCAGCGAACAAGCCTTTTCATCAGGCGTCTAGAAATACTTCAGTCTGAGATAAATTCATGCATTTGTTAGGCTTGACCTTTCAGGATGTTTCGTCACTCTTATTACCTGTCCCAATGCATGACATAAGGCCTTTTTCTTATGAAACATGTTCTCATTATTCTATTTCTCGTAATCAGCATCGCACATGGGCTGTTGATCACATAAACGTACCGCTGCACGATAACCTCTGCAGTTTACACCTTTTGTATAGGAATGACAACAGCACTCAATCCTCCATCCATCATGTCCCGTGAGGAAAGCGACAGAAATGGTCACGGCGGCCCGCTTCCGTGGCGACCCTGTGCTATAGGGAAGGCGAGGGGGCAGGGCCAGGCAGCGGCGCCGCCGACAATGATTAGCCTCGTCTCGTGTTTTTCCTCGCCGCCGGGTAGCGGCAGGAGCTGTTTTCCTATTGGACGCCCGAAAATACGTCCTGGCTCCTGCGGACCGTCGCCCACCGCGGCGGGCCCCACTAACGATTTTATTAGTCGGGCGACGCGTGATGCATTTTGATAAATATTTAGTTAAAATGCAACCTAGACAGATTTACACTTACAGGCGTAGTTCTAAAACGATAAAAAACAGAGAAGAAAGTTATTATGTTTAGTATTGCTTATGAAAAGACTTATGGATTAATCAATCAGTTTGAAACTATGATAATTGCTCTTACATCAAAACGTCTACGAGTACATAGTTCGCCATCTTTGTTACAGGGCTGCTGAAGGAACGAATTGCCTACGTGTGCACTGATGGAACTTTGTAAGTTGTTTATAGCATATATAAAGCGAACTACGAAATAAAAGCAAAGTGAAAATGAATGCTTCTAGAAAAGTAATCATAAAGGCGAGGATAATGTAGCACACCTCTTTCTGCCCGTCATGCTTATTGGTTTACAAATGAAGATTGAATTAGTACCATTCATCTGAATCGCATTGTTGGACAAGTTCATCATTAATTTCTTCGAGATTGTGAACTATGGCCATGTTGACCATTAACCCTAGCGAAGCGCAGAAACTTGCAAACTTAGCAGGCCGTGTTTCTTCCATCACCAGCTGCTGCCGGTGCCCCCGATTCCGGTTATACCGGCCGGTCGCTCGGTGCTTGGTCTGCCGGCCGGAGCAGCGCGGAGGGGGGAAGGGAAGGGAGGGGGGGGCCTGCGGGGACAGAAGCGCCGCCGTGTCAGTCCCAGCCGCGCCGGACGCTCCTGGGACACGGTTCGCCGCTGACAGGGTCGTTACCGGACCTGAGGAGCCCACAGTGTTCACCTGCGCACCCGCCCACCAGCCTGTCCGGACTGTTCCTGATCTGACCCCTCCCCTCGCCCAGGCCCAGGTTCGTACCGACTCGCGGAGACCATGGCAACTGCGGTCGGTGCTCCCCAAATAAAGCTATCGTCCCCAGATGGGGATGTCGGCCTCAGCCTTCCACCCTTCCCCACCGCCTTCCGGAAGCAATCCATTGCTCCCTTCGGCCTCAGGTCGGCATTGGGCAATATCGGCGGACCCTCTCTTCTCGCTCGAGTTGATGGTACAACCAGCTGTCGAGTGACAGTGGCAGCTCGTTCCCAACACGACTCTAACACCACCCGAGAGACTCGGACTGACCCCGGCAGCCTGTCCCAAGAGTAGGTACAGAGTCCCATCTGGCTCGATGAACTGGAAACGTCCACAGATTGAACAGGGTACGGCTCCAGTCTGATCCACTGGCCGTTCTCCCTGTGAACAGCCGCGCGCTGCATTGTGTTCCGGTGCTGCCGGTGGCGTGTTCTCGATTGGCGTGTCACCGCCGGGCCCCAGCCAATCACAGGCGAGCTAACGAGCCAGTCGCACCAGGGTGTTAATGACCCTTCCACGGTCACGCGGCACGCTCCGGTCTGTTGGCTCCTTCTCTTGGGAGGTCCCGGCTACAATGCTGACGGTCATTTAACTCTGGAGGAATGTGCGCGCCGTCGGGAAAATAAGGACGATGAATGTTATTTATAGCTGGAAAATGGCTGCAGTTCACGGATTATAGCCTGTTGAAAGCCGTGTAGTTAGTGTCCTATAAGAATGTTAAATAAGGCCTGCCATGCTCCGTATTTTTGCATTTACTTTTCATGCTAATTGAGTATCACTTACTAAATACAAATATATGATTGTCCATAGCCTTATGCTTGTTCACATCATAATCAGCGAATCATTAAGGTGATTTTTCAGTTTAAATTTGCATCGCAAGCTGCACTGAAAACATGAAGTCCAATTTTAAAATGCTAACAAGTTTACCATCTAGCTATAGGAGAAAGGAACAGAAATAAGCCCAGAAATAAGTGAAGAATTAAATAACTGAGAAGAAAGATGAGCACTGCTCCCTCTCGGGAGAGCCTCTCATACCGATACCGATCAATCCTCATGCCCTGCGTATCGGCGTGCCTGGCGGACGGCGTGCCAGATACCCGTGCATTTCGGCTAATAGGCACCTAACCTCCGTTTACTCCACAAATATGGTGATGCTGCGTATCCTTCATACAAATTACTTCAATTCTGTGAAGACTTGAATTGAAGTGGGGGACAGACTTGCTAGCTGCGAGTGTGTTGTGAGTTGTGTAGTGTCGTCATTCAATCATTTTATCATTTACAATCTTCAAGCTATAATGATTGATAAAAAGGATTTTTGCTTATGTCACATAATAAGTCCATATTATTAGATGTTTAAATATTTCAAATAGTGTCAGTGTCCAACAAGGATAGAAATAGACATGTCCAAAATCATAAAAAGGATAATAATAACAGTTACACCCTCACTCTCTTGGGCTGGCACACGTTCTTTTCTAAAAAAAAAAATCCCAGACAGGTTTTTTATTGGCGCGTGGAGGCCAACGACGCACTCTCCGGCGCCTGATCCGAGAACGATGACAGCGGTGCCGAGTCAGCGCTGGACTGCTTCCGGGCCGGCGCGGCGGCCGCTTTCAGCCGGCTCCGGCCCGGTCTGGGCCCAGACAGTGATACATCCTCGCCGGAGTCACCGCAGTCAGCCTCCCTCCCCACCCACGTACCCCTCCAGACGACCCAACGAGACCGTCGGACCCTGTATTTTTTCACCTAGCCAACGAGCATATATTTTCGTCGCATATACCTATTTCCGTCGCATATATTTCCCAATTACAGGAGAGAGCACCTGCTCCTCCTCCTCGTCCTTGGACTTTACTTGATTGAATTGGTGGGAGGGTCCCTTTAAAGGGAGATAATGAGCTTTCTTTTTTC